TGTGTATATTTCCCCCCCACTCTGTGAACGGGAGATTGGTTTGAGGTGTCAATGTTTGCCCATCAGCGAGGGATGATGGATGAGGGGACGGCTGCACGGAATAGCAGAAATAAATAATAAGGGAATAATTGCCATGTGCTTAATAACCAGCTGGGGAAGGACCTGGGTAGGGCTGCCAAGGCTGAATTTGCAGGGAGTTTTTTGGAGCTGGGCACTTCCCAAACCCACTTTGGTAGGTGCTGATGGTAGGATGCCCCAAAACACAGATGGCTTTGGGCTGCAGTGGTCTGGGTTTTCATTGCACAATGCCCACACATAGAACAGGAGAGGACACCACCAGCCTGGGGGTCCCCAACCCATCACCACCCTGTGCCAGGTGAGCCAGGGCAGTCCATGGAGCTGGAGCAGCCCCAGGCTGCAGCCCCACTGCTACCAGCAAGCCCGGGCAGGCCTGGTCCCAATGTCCCTCTTGGCACCGTGCTTCGCCTTGAGCACACACAGGCTTTGTGTGGGCAGCAGCACGGTGTCCTACCTACCTCCACACCCACGGGAAGCCATGCTCCCACCCCACAGCACCCCCACTCGTGTACCTCCTGGCTGCTGCTTAAAAAATAACCACCCCCCTACCAAACCATCTTATTGAAAGGAAAAAAAAAAAATCACATCCAAGTTGGTTTTGTTGCTTTCAGGAGCTGAACAAAACAAGGTTGTTTCAGGCCTCGCCTGGTGCCTCCTTTATATTCACCCTTTCTCACTTTAAAACTCTCAACTGGCTCCAGCCAGCTGGAATATTTTTTCCTGGCAAGGTTGTTTTTCTCAGCTCCCTGGCAGGGTGGGGGTGCTGGGGGCTCCTCTTTTTCCAGGGGGTTTAAAAACAGAAACTACACAAGTGTGGCTGGCAAAACAAAATAAAGAAGTGAACCCAGGAGCTGCTGGCTTTTTGCAGCTCTGCCACTGCCACCACTACTGGGGGGAAGCAAAAGCCAGAACAGGGATTCCCCATTGCCTTTTAGGGTTCACAGTCCCTAAACTGCAAGTAGAGCCCAGATCTACCCCCAAAAGCCCCCCCAGACACATCAAAGCTATCCCCCATAGGGATAATCCTACCTCATCCCGAGGGCTGCATCCTGCCCTCCCAGCACAAGGCACGCACAAGGCAAGGCCAGCCCCTGCAGTGAGCCCAGCCTTTATTTTGGGTTGAGATTGGCTGGATTGGGAGCAGCTGTGACCAGTACAGGGCAAACAGGCAGCTCTGAGGCCCAGTGCTGCAGTGTCTGGTGCTGATGGGATCCAGTAGATCACCAGGGAGGTGATAGGGTGCTCCTCACATGCTGGGGAGACGAGAAGAGCTGTGTCCCCAGTGCAATGGGATATCCTGGAGGTGCCATCCAAGGCACCAAGCTGGACAGCAAGGCACCAGGCTGGGTGTAGACAGGGATCCCTGCTCCTGGTGATGCTCAGAAATGATGGAGAGAGACTGGGCAGCCACTGACTGGGGGCCAGACCACCCCTTTCCAGATTCCCACCATTCCAAGTGGCACGTGCTATTTCTGCTCCTCCCTTCACCTGCCGCCCCCAAACCCACCCGGGGCGGGGAGCACGCACCCCCCACACCCCCCCAAGCACACCCGCACTCCGAGCGAGCCGGCAGATTCCAACTCCCGTTATTCCCGGGCTGGGGAGGCGTTGTCTGGCTTCGCGCCGCTGGGCTGTAAACCCGAAATCCGGAGATTTGGGGGGAGGAGAGAACCCCCCGGGGCCGTCCGGGACGGAGGAGCCGAGTCCCGCTTGCGCGGCGGCGGCGGGGCTGGGCTGGAGGCTCCGCCGCTCGAACGATGCGGTTCTCAACGGCCGCCGGGGCGCGAGGAGGGCACGGGGCGCGCAGAACGACCTGCCCCGGGCCCGCAAAACGGGCTTGTTCCCCCAAAATAAAGCTCAGGGCAGGGACAGGTTGTTCGGATGCTCGATCCCCGGGGTCAGCACCCAGCCCCTGGGAACTCCTGTGCCCGCTGGAAGGGAAATCCCGGGAGCGGTGGCTGCAGGGGTCGGGGCAGGGGGGACGGCTGAAAATAAACAATGGAAGTAAAAATTAAAATAAAAATAAACCCCCTCCGCTGCAAACTGACCGCCGGCTGAGACCCAGCAGCCCGGCTGAGCTCTCAGCAACGCTGTCCAGGGGACCGGTCCCACCGCCCTCCCCAGCGAAGGAGGGTCAGACAGAACCGGGGGGGGGCGCGGCTGCAGAGAAACAAGGAGACAGAAGGGTTTATTCTTCACCTTTTTTTACTTTTTTTCTTTTGAGCCCAACTGCTCCTTGGCGTAATTGGCCTCGGAGGGCTGGGCTGTTCCTGCACCTTTTGTGCAGCACCTCTCACCGCCCTGTGCCCAGGGGGGATGCGAAGCCGCTTGAGTTTCTCAGGGCATCTACAGGGCTGGGTGGGGACATGATATAAGCAAAGGGACAGGGCCAGGCACGCTCCATGTCACCCCAAGGAGCTCCCCACAGGGGCAGGGAGGGATGCTCCAGGGATTGGGAGCAGCTCCCAGGCCACTGCCACCCTTGTGCCACAGATGGTGCATAACCATTGCCACATGGGTGGTGTTTGTGCCTCAGTTTCCTCACAGGGAATCACTGTGCTGCCACAGAAGAGGGTGATAGCACCCATGTACCACGGCTGGGTAGGTGAGATGTCCCCTGCCTCCCAGGGAGAGGGTCAGACAGAGCCAGGGGTCTGGAGAGAAACAAGGAGACAAAAGGGTTTCTTCTTCTCAATTTTTTCTTTTTTTTTTTTTTTCCATTTTTTCTTTTAAATTTGTAAATGACTGTCCATGGAAAAGGTTACATTGCACACAGAACTCTGCGGTTCTTCAACATCAATATAAAGACCCCAAAACAGGAAAATGTAACAAAAACAGCAAATAAAAAGAAGCATTGCCAAGACAGATGGATACCTCTATACCAACTCCAAAGCCCCCCTCTCCTCCTCAAGACATGGCCTGTGCTCTGGGCCCGGGACACTGTCCCCAGCCATGCCGGGGTATCCCAGGGGACTTCAGACGCTGGCACCTGGGCAAAGCGGCGGCCCCAGCCCCAGCTTTGCTGCTTGCATGAGCTGAAGGTGTTGGTTCTCAGCCTGCCTCATGCTTTACCGGAAGGATGTGAGACTTGTGCTCCCAGCTCCGTGGGTCCAACTCTTTCTCCAGACTTGGGTAGAAATTACTCCAAGAGTCATTTATATTTTTTTTTAAAGGCTTGTTTATCGATTCTTACACTACAACTATACTCTTGTTAAATTATATTGCTCACTTTAAAAGTTCTAAGTGCTTTTGTAACCAAAAAAGGAACTCTTTACTTTTGGCAACTCTAAGACACACTACTAAAACTACAGCTTCTATTTACTCCTACCCAATGCCTACTCTACCTCTAATAACCTACAGCAAAGGAGAGGTGCAGAATCCAGTTCTCAAGAGCTTCAAGTCAAGTTTCAGCACAATTTGGCTCCACTCCGGAAATGTTTCTGAGCTACTTTGCAGAGACCCTGCCACGCTCTCTCCACACCGAGCTGAAAGGCCAAAGCTTCTGCTCGTGTCAGTCCTGGTGCCTCTCCTGGCTGACAAGCAGCTCCCAGCTGGATGGTGATAAGGCTGCAAAAATGACAGAGCCCCATTTCTTCTGCCTTCCCTGCAAGCTGGTGGAGATGCTAGCAGAGTGTCTGCAAGATCAGGGGGACTTCATCTCTGCTGCCATCCTCACAGCCTGGTGCACGCACAGTCTTTGGCTTGAGGCTCCTGGACAGAGCCTGGATGTGGATTTTTTTCCTCCTCAGTCCTACCTGTGGACTCCACTCAATGTGGAGTGACCCCATCGCTGCCAGCTGATGGCCATGCCATGGTGTTTTCCTTACAGCTCCCCCAAAAACACATCCTTAACTGGGGTCCTGCACTGCCCTGGCAGCTGCTTGGAGCCTGATGGATGAGCAAAAGAGTGGAGAGCAGCAGTCTCAGACCAAGAAAATTGAGAGGGGCTATGTCAGCTGGTGAAAGACAGAGAGGCTTTATGGTGGTCTAGACCCTTTGGCAATCACTGCAAGGATTTTGGGTATGAAAAATATAAAAGCTAGTTCTGGGAGCACCCAGTCCCCACTGCTCCTCTCCTGCTGGGGCAAAGTCCTGGATCCTTAATGAAACCTGTTGCTGCTGCTGCAGGAATCCTCTCTTGCATGGTCTTGGTTTACAGAACAAACATAAGCCTTTAAACTGTGAAAATATAAAACAACTCCCAAACTGCATTTCCCCTCTCCCCCCACTATTAAGAAATTCTAATGCTAAAAAATATAGATTTCTTTGAATATATAATATATAATAGATTATATAAAAACATCTACAAAGGCAGACTTGCTGAATTTATAGACCTTTTCTTCTTCCCTAGGCAGAAGTCAGGGGGGAGGTTGAACTCAGAGAATCCAGAAGGGACCTCTATTTACCTGCTAGCTAATGATCACACTACACCTACCAACTGCTCTAGACAGAAAAAGGAAAGAGAAACGGAGAGACAAAGGGGTGAGGAAATTGCACTTATGTCTATCAAGTCCTAAGCCACCAGGAATCTCCTGTCTTGGATGGGATTTAGCAGGTGCTCTCCTTTAGCCCTGAAGGAACATATATTGTGTCCATTTCCATGGGAGAAAAAAATAAGAAAAAAAAAAAAGATAATTCACATTTCTTCCTTTAAAAGTAAAAAAATAAGTAGTGTTATGTTTCTTCTCTTGAGGAAATTCAAGGACTAGAGACTTCTGATGTGTCCTTTGAAAAGATATCAAGCAGTTCCTGTGGTGCTGTTTTCTTCTCCCCCTGGTGTTCCTGTGAATAATCTTACAATGAAGCTGGTAGAAGTCACTATGGATGTGTCTGTCTCTAGAAAATCTTGTCCCTTGTAAATCCCAGCAGCATGGGGAGAGCATCCTGTTAAAGTCTGTGGCCTTTGAATGGCATCTGGCCTTTTATAAGAGGGATGCCAGATTGCTGGGGTCGCTCGCATCCACTGGCAGAGAGGTATCGTTGAAGTCAAACAACTGGTCTATGTTGATGCAGTTGGAGAGGCAATCGTTTGTCCCTTCGTCCCAGGAGTGCTTCAGGAAAGCAGTGGCCATGGCGGTTTCATCAAAGTCCCAGTTGTTCTCATCGGATTCGGTGAGGACCTGCTCCTGCCCCTGGGGACAGTCCATCTGGTACCCTTGTACCATCAAGTCCAGGTCGCGTGTTATGGGACTGATTGGAGGCATGAGGTCCAGGTCTGAAAAAATGGAGGCGTCTTCGTTCAGGGTGGTGTTGAAGATGGCCTCCCAGTCAAAATCACCTTTCAGTGACCCCAGCTCACTCTGCTCTTCCTGGGTCAGCAAGGCAGAGTCGCAAAGCCGAGCCACCTTGGCTGTTCGGTCGGGCGGGAGCTGCTTGTGCTTGTGCCCTGCCTTGCCGTCCTCTGCATTCCAGCTCTGGCTCCTGGTGATTTCTTCAAACTCTTTCAGCAGCTGCTGCGACTCCATGTTGATGCTGAGGATGTTATCAGAGGTGCAAGCTGGAGTGGCTGTGCTGGTGACGCACCGTGCTCCTTGCTGGGCTTTTTTGGTGGAGGTCAGGCAGATCTGCACTGGGGACACCCTCCGCTTTTTCACAGCACCGTTCCTGAGCCGGTCAGCGTACTGGGGATCGAGCTTCCAAAACCCACCTTTCCCGGGCTCACCCTTCTCCCGAGGCACCTTGATGAAGGACTTGTTCAAGGAGAGGTTGTGCCGGATGGAGTTCTAGACCCAAAAGAGAAAAAAAAACCCAAGGTTGAACACTTGTCTGCTGCTGCAGCACCTACCTGCGTGGGGAGGCTGGTGGAAAAGCACATTTTCAGCAAAGACCTTTATAAAAAGAAATCAGAAATGTTGCCAAGGCATCCTGGGCTACGTGCCTGTCTACGTTGAGCCCATATCCAGGGCTGAACTCTAGCAGTTGCTCTATCACCCAGTGACCCCTCCCCAGCTGAGAAGGGCAATTGGGAAAAGGAGGGGAGACCGGTGGGTTGAAATGAAAACAGATGTAATGAAACAAAAGTAGAGAAAGTCATACTCAGCCTAGTGAATGTCTGGCAGTTACAACAAAGGGCAAAGCAGTCGTCAGGAGCAGAATGATAAGTGAGCCCCTCCAGGGATGTCAACCCTTGAGAGGAGAAGGAGAAGGAGGAGAAGCCCCTCCATCCTCAGTATACTTCTCCCTTTATAATGAGCGTGATGTTCATGGTGTGGGATACCCCTGTGAGTCAGCTCAGGTCAGCTGCCCTGGCTTTTGCCCCTCCTAGCTCAAGCACCTAGCTGACTCAAAGCTGGTAACAGCCTGCATGGCTGGCCTATGATTCTATCCCAGCAAAATCAGGACAGTGTCCACAATAAACTCCTCTGCCCCAAGTCACCATCACAGTTTTCTTGTCTCCTGTCTAATCCAGCCAGAGGTGGCAGGAGCCAACAGCTTCAGGCTGGGATTTGCCAACCAACGTGAAGCTTTTGGGCAACTTTCCTTGGCTGCAAATGGGAACCATGGGGCCTCAGATCATGCAGAATACTGGGAGAAACCATCCAGACTTGCTCTAGGCAAGGAGGAGGAGGTCAGGTCCTCCTTGGTGGCTAAGGAGGAAGAGGAGGGTCTTTAAACCAATGTGGCCATGGCCCCATTACAAGAGGCAACACATGGAAGGACTATAGGGGACGGCATCATCAGGGCCCTCCTTGTATCTCCCAGTTCATCTGTGCTTATTGCTAGTGTTGAGGGGAAAATATTTGGCCCCAAAATAGGGACCATGGCTCCCTGCAGCCAGGCTGACACAAAGCATGCAGGCAAAACAGGAGAGACACGTGGGCTGTTCCACTGCAGGCCTGTGTGTCCCCAGCAGTGCCTCCTGGCCTGGGGAAGCTCAGTGTGAAATCACTGTGCCTTCATCAGCCACCGTTCAAATAGGCTGTGGGGGGAAAAAAAAGACAAAATAAAAAGAAATAAAAGAAAAAAAAAGGAGAGAAAAAAAAAAAGGAGTTTCTGCTCCTGTCGAGCTGTTCTGAATCCCTGAATGTGCCTGGAGTGATGTGAATAATCAGAAAGGAAACTCAGTTATTGAGTAAATAACCCAGCGTTGGACTCCACAAAGCCAAGACTGTATTAAGAGATTGGATATGGTAGAGGTTGGGTTTTTTTTAATGTTGCCTGGGTATCTTTATGCTTATTCATCCATAATCCATAGTGCCAAATAGGAAAAACAAAGCTTGAATGCTTAAAGCTGTTGAAAAACACACACACCCACCCCCCGCAAAACTCTCCTCTGGGCTGAAGCTCCTTGGATGTGTTGGCTCCTCTCCAAAGCACTCAGCTCCCACAGGAATATATCCATCTCCCCCCAGAGTATGGGTGGCATGACCTTTCCAGGCTGTCTTCATGTACGGGAACTGGGATGGGGGTGAGAACACAGCCTCGTAAAGAAGGAAGAAGAAAAAAGAAGGAAAGAAGAAAAAAAAAAGAAAGAAAAAAAAGGAAAGAAAAAAAAAGAAGGAAAGAAAAAAGAAGAAAAAGAGATAGAAGGAAAAAAGATAGAAGGAAAAAAGAAAGGAGGAAAAAAGAAAAAAGGAAAGAAAAAAGGAAAGAAAAAAGGAAAGAAAAAAAGGAAAATAAAGAAGCAGCAGGAACACAGATATCCCTGCAAATAATCCAGGCTGTAGTACCTCCAAATTTACAGTTTAACAAAATTTTACCAAAGTTGGAGACTTGCAGGCTGAATTCTCTGCTCCCCACCTCAAACTTCATTCAGCCCAGGCTGCCCTCCGTTATTACCCGGCCGGTTTACATATTTATCATTCCTGCCTGCAGCAATCCTGTGAACCCCCTGCATCTCTGCGGAGAGGGATTGAAAACCTTCTTTCTTTTTTTAATAAACACATTTAATTAAAAACGCGGTGATTATCCAGCTGTGAGTTTTCAGGAGAAAGTCAACAGGCTGGCACACAGCTCCTCCTCCCTAATCGCTCCCGTAGGTCCCCACAGCACAGGGGAGGTTGGAGGGACACAGGTGGCCCTGGAGAGGGGTGGGGGGATTTCCTTCCCCATGATGGCCTTCAAGAGGCACTGGAGGCCTGGGGAGAAGGTGGGCAGTGCTTGGGCAGGGGTCTGCAGCAGTTTTGCCCAGCCCTGCCTGGGTGAGCATTGCCGCCGGGATCGCTGGCATGCTGCAGATTTGGGCTGGGAATAACCCGAGCGGAGGGACGAGCCACACAGGTCCCTCCTGCTCTGAAATATCCTCGAAAGCCTCACGTGCCAGAGGTCCCCTGACGTGATGGAGGAGGGCAGCGAGCCAAGGTGGCTGGGAAAAGCCCCTGTGCTTCAGGCTGTCCCCTACCCCCCAGGGACATGCTCTGCTCGTGCTATTTGGGGACAGCAGCCTAATGTGACCTCTCTCGGGCTTCCCTCTGAGGCCTCATCAGCTCATCACAGCAATGGAGCCTCCTTTGCCTGTCCAAGGGGACAGGAGGTCTGCTTGGAAAGCAGCAGCAGCATCTCTGTTCTGAACCTCCTCAATGAGGGATTTGTCCGACAAGCGGCATCTCCCCAGGGGTCCTCTCCAACCTTCTCCTGTGCCTGGTCCTCAGCACCCAGGGATGCTCACCCTGGTGATTTCATGTGTGCTCAGCCCTAAGGGACTCAGGACCCCAGGAAAGCTCTAGAAAGGTGGAGCTGGGGACAGAGACGGCTTCGTCCTGGAGCTGAGAGGAGTTGCAGGGACCTCCCAGCTCCCAAAATGGCCCCGAGCTCTCCCCAATAACAGTTCCTTCCCTCTGCTGCCCTCAAGGCCATGGCATTTCTGCACACCCAAGCTCTTCCCTGTTACTGCCCTTCCCTGCCAGTTGCTGCTGCCCCTCTCCCAGTGGGATCCAGCATCCCTGCAGGACCTTGCCTTGCACGGTGGAGGCTGTGGAAAGCTCCCCCCAGCCCTGTGGGGAGAGGGGACAAGGAAGAAGTCTCCAAATCTCCTACCTGCCAGGTGGGATCAGCGTGTCGGAAGTAGCAGAAGTTGTCGGTAATCCACTTGTAGATGGCAGAGAGGGTGATTTTGGGCTCCTTGCTGGCTTCCATTGCCATGCAGATGAGGGTGGCATAGGAGTAAGGTGGCTTGACATGGGGGTTGGTCTTGTAGTTGATGTCCTCTGTGAGCTGAGTGGGCATGGCCGTGGCATGCTGCGGTGTCCTCAAGGTGGAGGAGGAGATGGGCTTGCAAGGAGCATGGGGCAAGTCCATGCACGCTGGGTCAGCGGCCAGGGGTGAGCACGGGGCATCAAAGCTGGGGATCCTGTAACAGTTGGGGGGGTCTGGGCCACTGGGGCAGCAGGAGGACTTGATGATTGAGAAGTCCTTCAGCCACATGAGGCTGGTCAGGCTGTCGTCCAGCTCAACCAATTGCTTCATGGCACCCTTCTTCTGCCCTTCATACTCTCCAGGCTTCAGGTAGCTTGGCCACTCCTTCTTCTGCCCTTCTTCCTTTC